AAATTAAAATAATCAGGGGTGTCTTATTGGATACAATCAATATTTTCCTTTTAAGGACTAATATGAAGTCCCTCAGATGGCAACTCCTGAATGCTGATATGTATCTGCTCTTAATTATCAGTTTTCATGGTAAAAACGTTTTATCATTACTGGTGGTTTTGTTTGAGCATTTTTTGTTGATTTTTGTCCTCATTATTTGTGGTTCTTTTTCTAATTTTGTTGAACGTTGTTGAATAATTTCTAATGCTGTAATAATAGAGTTGGGGGATGTTTTAATATGTGGATATGGATGTCGGGTCGGGTCAGGCATATTTTAATGGGAAAATTTCACATAAAAACAACTGAGCTCTCTACTTTTCAATTTTATAGCTCATATTTCAATTTACAATCGAGTAGCCCAAAAATAGCATGCCCATATCCGAAAAAATGGGAGTTATTTCCGTTTTTTGGGATTCAGAAGCGGGATTTTCTCTCATTCTTTCCATTCTTCTTCCCCAAATCTACAAAAATGCGATTTTACACTCAATGCAACTCCAAAAAACCTTGAAATTCTTCTTCATCTCGAATTAATAGCAAATCAAACACAAAAAGTGAATTGTTTTTGCTGCAATTTTGATAATTTTTTATGCAATTTTGCAATTTTGATTTCAGCTTTTTGCAATTTTGATTTCAACTTTTTGCAATTTTGCATTTTTTATCATTTTCTTCTTCATCATTTTTTATGCAATTTTGATTTCAGCTTTTTATTCGATGGAGCTTTATCCAGTTTTTGTTTTTCATAGTGGTAAATGGGATGACAACAAATTTATCAATTTCGTCGGCGATTGTGTAATAATCGAGTCTACATTCAGCTACAACAATTTAGTTGAAGCAATTTCGAAACAAATTAGAGTTGATTCTGAGTTAAATACATTATAGATTAAGTTTCTCCCAGAGGATGGTTTGCCACCGATCCTGATTTACAACGATACTGGTGTTCGGGTGTATATTGAATTAAAGAAGAAAATTTGGATTTCGCTGAGTACCCGTTATATGTGACTGTGAAAGAGATTTATGATAATTGTTTGGTTGCTACAAGTTCCAGTTGTTTGGTTACTACAAGTTCCAGTTGTATAGATAAAGGCTAATGTGAAAATGATGTTGAAGATGCATCCACAATTGATAGCATTGAGATTATTCCTGATATCGAATTTATTGAAAACACCGATTATGGTATAATAGATAATATGTTAAACGAATTGGTTGAGGAGGATCAAGTTTATAAAGATAAAGACACATTTGTCAATGTGATTAAAAACTTGGATGTATGCAAGATGTTACAATTCAAGGTGAAGAGATCAAGCGCAACAAGATATGGCAATAGTTGCATATTCTATTATATATATGTATAAATATGTATAAAGTAGTATATATTTGTATAGAGGTATTAAAATTAGTATATATCTAGTTATGTTTTAGTATACAAGTGTATCTAGAAGTTGAATGATCTTTAACCCTAGGTATCACCTTATGTGTGTGGATGACAATTGTGCTTGGAGTTTCAAATCTTATGCCGTTTACAAGGCAAACATATTCAAGGTGAGAAGTTACAATAATAATCACAGATGCGACTATAATGAAAGATACTTAACACAACGTCTAGTTACTTCGGGTGTAATTGATAGTATAGTCAAGGATAATTATGTTAATCCAAAAAAAGGTTTACACCCCAAATGATATAATAGAGGTCATACAGAAGCAAGACGGGGTTGAAGTGAGCTATATGAAAGGACGTAGAGCTAAAGAGATAGCAATGGCAATGATAAGAGGGAATCTGAGCGATTCATATAAGGAGTTGCCGAGATATTTGTATATGTTGGAGCATACAAATCCAGGAACGGTTACAAAGTTGCACAAATCATAAGATGGATGTTTTCTTTACGCATATGTTTCGCTATATGCATCTATCAAGGGTTGGGAGTATTGCAGACCGGTAATGATTGTTGACAGAAGTTTCTTTAAAGCAATATATAAGGGTACTGTATTGACTGCTTGCACACAGGATGGAGCTGGTGAGTTGACTGCATCTACCTTGTTTCTACAGCTTGTATAATGTTGTAGTTTCATATATAAACGTGTATAGGATTTCAGAGCTGCTATTTTTATAAGATTTGTTGTATGTAAAAAGTTGTATGTTCGTGTATAACTGTGTATAAGATTTGTATAATTGTCTGAATCCTAATATCTACTTTGTATAAACATGAAAAATCCTTCCACTTGCAAATGCAATTGTAGATTCAAAGAATAATAAATCTTGGAAGTGATTATTCGTCTAGATAAAGGGTACTTTTGGTGTTAGGGATGAGATGTGTATAGTTTCAGATAGTAATGAAAGCATATTCAATGCCACAAAAGTTGTGTGCCGAGAAGTTCCACATTGTATTTGCATGTTCACTTGTGGCAGAATGTCAAGCGCACATTCAAGAAACATAACAAACAACTGAAGGATATCTTCTTCATTTTGGCTAAAGCTTACATGATAGAGAAGTTTTACTACCATATGACAGAGATGTGCAAAATTTATCTGAGGATGAAGCCTTACTTGTTCGAAATTGGCTACGAAAGGTAGTCTAGGGTATACTCCAAAGTAAAAAGGTCGATTGTAATGACTTCTAATATTGCAAAGTCAATTAATTCCAAACAAAGATGCTAGAGAGCCACTAATAATGCGATTGCTGGAGTACATGACAATTTTGCTACTAAAGTTGAACAACAAAAACAGAAAAAGTGCAATGGAGACATCTACAGAGATTGGCGAAAAGTACGACAAACTCCTTCGGAAAAATCTGATTGCATCGGAGCAAATGACGGTAAAACGAATTAACTATAATGATGCATGGAATTGCTTACTTGCATTTTACTGTTTGTATAAGGATGTATAACTATGTATAATAATATATAATGTGCTTTTAACTTTTTTTTTTAAAAAAAACTTTTGCATGTGAGGCCATGTTGAGTAGTTAAGTTTCACAAACAATTGAGTTACAAATGTCAACAAAGAATTATAATTTATACTATATGTTGCAATTATGTTAAATATGTTTCGTTATACATGTTTTGATTATCCAATAATAGTGTGTTACTGTTTTTAATGTTGCTAAATATATTGATAGATTGTACAAATGCAAAACAGAAATGCAAACAATCAGTGTCATTATATGTATACAAATGTATAAATGAGAGTATAAGTTTGTATAAAATTGTATAACCATGTGTATATATATATATATATNGTAATTCATTCACAGCGACAATGTGTAATGACTACCACAAACTACACAAAAATAAATTCATCTATATTAAAATGAAAAAAAAATAGAACTACTTTCTCGGTCGTCCTCTCTTCCTCTTCCTGAAAAGTCTTCTTGTGATTTCATCGCCGTTAATTGCATCGGACTGTTATTTTTTCCTTCCATAATCCCACAACAGAGATCCCCACATGGTGCGAAGTGTCTAAATGTCAAAATTATCTTTTCGAATTTCCTTACCCAGGATGAAATACTCAGCAAAGCCAGCAACAAAAGCACTACAATCACTGTCATTAAAAAAAAATCAGATTCTCTGTACGTTACTATAAATATGTACACAAATAGTAAAATAATAAAACAACTGAGATTGAACTACCATTTGAAATGTCATGGCACATTATTAACCAGATTAATCTGCAAAGCATCAGAATGGCGAGTAGCAATCCTTTGTTCTTTGGATATGCAATCAAGACCATTCTCAACATCGTCCTCGATCTTGCTCTTTTTTGGTTTAACGTCCTTGATCTTTCTCTTTTTCGGTTTAACAATGGGGCCTACATCATCTTCATCAACCAAATCAAATTTCAGCTTTTCTTTGGATTTTTCATGTCTCCCACATTTCTTACTCCTTATTCTAACATTGTTAACCGGAGTAGGAGTATTCTTTGTTTGTGAACAAGTCATTCGACTGCTCTCTTGCAGCGACTTTTTTGTAGGAGAAGGAGACTTAAAATCATCATCATCGGGGGCCTAAACATGCCCATTCGCTTCAGAATCAGCGGTTGAGGACAAGTCCCTCAAATTTTTCACAAAATCAAGCTTAACACCTTTTGCAACAACCTTCATACGACTTTTAGAAGCAGGCATTTTTGAATGCATTTTCTACAATAAAACAAACAAAGCTTTAATGAAAGTGAAGGAAAACACAAAAATCAAACCAAAAATAAAGGCCATGAACACAAAACAGAAGCCAATTTCCCCAAATTGGAACAAGACTCAAAAAATAAATTATACCCTAAAAGTCGAAATAATAAAACATGCAAACTGAAATACCAAGTTTAGGCCCAGAACGAAGATAGAAGGAACACAAAATCGAAAGAAAAACACAACATTGTAAAATAAAAATATTCAAAATCAGAAAAGACAAAAAATTAAAAATAAAACAAAATTTAAAACCAAAACAATGGAAAAAGCATAAAATGAAATGAAAATTACCAAAAAATAAGAGTGAAAGCTCGAGAAATGACTTGAGACGCAACAATGGAGGAATGTTGCCTTCGTACTTCTGTGAAAAAAGCGTGAGAAGAACAGAGAGAGAAAAATTTAAAAAGAAAACTAAAATACCGTTAATAATATTTGTGGGCGATCGGGTGAAAATAAAATTTTAAAATATATACAACCTGGGCCAAACGAGATTAGGGCTTCAAATGTGGACTATTTTCGGATGGGCTGTATGACCCAAGTGATATATGATGTATTTTTTTCTATTTTAATTGAGTCATAATTTATTAGATTGAATTTAAATTTTTTTAAAAAAAGGTAGAATCCGAAAAAATTACCGGAGAATTGTCTTTGCCGGTAACTATAACTTTTTGAGTAAAATAGCGAAAGTTTTATGATTTTTGTATGAGAAAATAAAATTATATGACTTTAGTGAAAAAATATCATAATTATATGACTATTTGTGAAATTTAACACTTGGTTAGTCTTGTAATCTTTGGGATGAAATCTGGTCAGATCTTGCTTTGTTTGTTGTGGAATTTGGTAGGACTTATTTCATTACAAAGCCAAACCTCCCCCACTCTTCTTCCTCCAAACTCCTCTTCCTCATACTCATAACAGAAATATAGACAAAGAAAAAAAAACACCACAACCAATACCAATACAAACAAACAAACCCCACCAAGGTTAAGTAAAAATCCAAACTTTTCTCCTCAAAAGAATTAGAGCAATGGGAATGGCAGCTGCTGAGCAACAGTTTCATGTCTTAGCTGTAGATGATAGCTTGATTGACAGAAAGCTCATTGAGAGGCTATTTAGAACCTCTGCTTGCCAAGGTAACTTTTTAAGTTTTCTTGTTTTTATTTCCATTTATTTTTCTTGTCAAAGGGATTCCAAGATAAGATTTTTATTGATTTTCTACTGTGTGCATCTGCTTTTTTTATAATGGCAGTTACTACTGTGGATTCTGAAAATAAAGCCTTAGAATTTTTGGGGTTACAAGAACATGAACATAATCACCCAAATCCTCCTTGTGCTTGTCCTCATAACCATCAGGTAATGTTCATTTTCCCACTTCACTAACTTTCTTGTACTTGGTGGACCAAGTTTCCGGCTATGCGTGGGGTCCGGGAAAAGTCCGAACCATAAGAGTATATTGTACGCAGTCTTAACCTGCATTTCTGCAAGAGTCGATTAAGAACAACTTTATCAGTTACGCCAAAACTTCTTTTTAAAAATTTAATCTTTTTTGTTTTCTGGAATTTGCAGGAAGTGGAAGTAAATCTTATTATCACTGACTACTGTATGCCTGGTATGACAGGCTATGATTTGCTCAAGAAAATTAAGGTATGCTTTAAAGTTTCTTCTTTTTTTCATCTTGCTGCCATATTCCTCTTTTAATTCTTTTTCTGATTTGTACATCATTTTCCTTTCTTCGTAATATACTTTAGGACAAATTTTCCCCATCAAATTGTTTCTGGCATTCCCATTAGCTTTATGGGGTCCTTTTCTAACCTTTCAATTTTGAGATCAGTTGAGAATCTTGTTAGGAAATCTAGCCCACCTGTATGTGTACTGGCAAAGTTGAGAAAGGAGCCTTGCAACGTAAATGGTAACGTTGCTTCCATATGACTAGGAGGTCATGGGTTCGATCCGTGAATATAGCTTTTTGCATAAATGTATTGTAAGACTGCTTACAATAGACTCTTGTGGTCCGGCCTTTTCCTGGATCCCGTGCATAGCGGAAGCTCAGTGCACCAGACTACCTTGCCCACATGTATGTGTACCGCATAATTAGATGTTAAAAGGACATGTGCCTATGGTTTTATGTCTTTCCTTTTTTGGACCCCTGCTGAAACAACTAGATTCTTTTGCCAATCAATTTATCTATTTGGTAAATTAATATTTGTACTCTTTTTTGTGACAGGAGTCTTCATCATTTAGAAACATTCCAGTAGTCATTATGTCATCTGAGAATGTTCCTTCAAGAATCAATAGGCAACTACTAACAAGCACAATGTTACCTTAATTTTATCTTATTTTCTTGAAGATTATTGGATAAACAATAAAGGTTAATAATGTTTTCTGACTGATTCATCAGATGCTTAGAAGAAGGGGCTGAAGAATTTTTCTTGAAACCAGTCAGATTATCAGATGTCAATAAGCTTAAACCCCATATGATGAAAACCAAGTGCAAAAGCTTTCATGAACCTGAGAAAATTGTCACAAAGGAAAATCAAGAATCATCAGAAATTGAAAAGGTTCCATCAGAACAATCACAACCACAACCAAAAATAGAATTAGACAGTATAGAACAAATACAGCAAATTCAGCAATCTCAAGGCAATAATAATAAGAGAAAGTCCATTGAAGAAGGTCTATCTCCAGAGAGAACAAGGCCGAGATACAGTGGCCTAACTACTGTCTAATCTTATGATCAATGCAAATATAATTTCCTTTTTTTTTGTCAGATAACTTTGTTTTTGTCTCTTTATAACATCACAGCCAATTTTGTTTGCTAACATAAGAGGTAAATAGATCTTTTTATTGTAGATAGAAATGTGTTCATTTTTCTTCTTGTAAATGAATGGAGAAGCATTTAATATACAAAAGTGGTGTTTTTGTTAACACTTAAATTTTGTTAAACCTAAGTTTTCCGTTTTGGTAAATCATAGTCTATTTTTGTCCGTTTTGGCAAATAAATTGTTTTTCTTTTTCAAGTTAGTGGAATTTGATCAATATTTGAAAATTTATAAATTAAAAATCAACCTTTTTTACTCCCCTAAAATCCCAAGGACTTTATCTCGTTGAAATTCTAATGGTTTTAGCAGTTTTCAATCTTTAGAAATTATTCGAAAGATTGTCAAAAAATCTCACATTAGTTTCATCTTTATTGTTTTTTTTATTTAAATTTTAAGGGCATTCTTGACAAATTAAACATCTTCTGATGGAGCTAGTATTTGTAAGGATTACTTGCAAAATAAAAAAACTCTTTTGATATTGTAATATCGTTTATACCTTTAGGTTAAACTAACACTAGCCATATACTCTTCTAATTTTGTCACAAATTTATTCAATCAATCACAAGGGACTAGAACAAACAAATAAATATAGTATCTTGTTCCATTAAGATGAAAGTAGCTCTATCTTTAATGTATATTATTAGTTGGGCATTGTGACCCTCGATCAAATAGCATTATAATTTTGAAACTTCATACAATTATATTTGTATGAAATCATGTTGAATAAAGCAGCAACAACAACAATCCAGTATAATCCCACCACTGGGGTCTGAGGAGGGTAGAGTGTACGCAGACATTGCCCCTACCTCAAAGAGGTAGAAATGTTATTTCCGGAAGACCCTCGGCTCAGAGACAATGGACATGTGACAACAAAACCTGAAAAATAAAACCAACAACATGAAAGACAACAAATAAATATAAAAGCAATAACAAAAAGTTATAGGATCCTTTGAAGTTGGAAAGAATAAATAAATTAAGTCGCCTTGTTCACTCTTCTATCCTTGCTCATAGCCATTTTAGAAAAATGCACCAATAATAGAACTTTATTCCCCACCAATTTTGGAAATACTCTCCTTGTTAAATCTAACAATCAAAGTAAGTTAAATATTCGACACAAACTAAAAGTTTTCACCTTTGGCTAATTTAAAGGTTTAAAATTGCTCAAGAATATATTTAAGGGATTAATTTAAACCTATATCAAACATAATGGGCCATTTTTGTATTTTATCAAGAATCTGGTGTCGGAACAAACTTTGCAAAAGGAGGAAAGCGGAATCTGGAGTTCAGCTCCGTCAGTTAAATATTCGACACAAACTAAAAGTTTTCACCTTTGGCTAATTTAAAGTTTAAAATTGCTCAAGAATATATTTAAGGGATTAATTTAAACCTATATCAAACATAATGGGCCATTTTTGTATTTTATCAAGAATCTGGTGTCGGAACAAACTTTGCAAAAGGAGGAAAGCGGAATCTGGAGTTCAGCTCCGTCAGTTAAATATTCGACACAAACTAAAAGTTTTCACCTTTGGCTAATTTAAAGTTTAAAATTGCTCAAGAATATATTTAAGGGATTAATTTAAACCTATATCAAACATAATGGGCCATTTTTGTATTTTATCAAGAATCTGGTGTCGGAACAAACTTTGCAAAAGGAGGAAAGCGGAATCTGGAGTTCAGCTCCGTCAGTTAAATATTCGACACAAACTAAAAGTTTTCACCTTTGGCTAATTTAAAGGTTTAAAATTGCTCAAGAATATATTTAAGGGATTAATTTAAACCTATATCAAACATAATGGGCCATTTTTGTATTTTATCAAGAATCTGGTGTCGGAACAAACTTTGCAAAAGGAGGAAAGCGGAATCTGGAGTTCAGCTCCGTCAGCGAGTTGATTTTCCGGCCAACTGATTACGAGGAAGGTAATTTTGTCCTAGAGTTCGTTCTTTTTCTATCTTCATTTAAGAAATGGCTCTTTTTATGTTTAACTCATTTTGATTTAATTATTAAATGCAATCCCTAGATAATTTTGATTTAATTATCTTCATTTAAGAAAACTAAGGATCTCGTGGCCGGTAGTGATACGATCGATGTTAGGTAGAGAAAAAGAATCTTTGGGACACGCCTTATTCAAATCTTTATAATCTATGCACATTTTTATTTTGTTTCCTTTCTTAGGGACTACCACTACGTTCGCTAACCATTCCGGGTATTTCATTTCCCGAATAAATCTTATTTTAAGAAGTTTGGATACCTCGTCCTTGATGAAAGTGTGTTTTATCTCGGACTGGGGCCTCCTTTTTTGTCTGACCGGAATGAACTTTGGGTTTAGGCTTAGTTTGTAAGTGGTCACCTCCGGTGGGATCCCTGTCATGTCGAAGTGGGACCAAGCAAAACAATCAATGTTAATCAAGAGAAAATGAATAAAGTTTTTCCTAAGCTCGGGGGTTAACCCTTTGCCCAAATATACCTTGCGATCGGGCATATACTCGATCAATATGACCTGTTCCAGCTCTTCGATCGTTGATTTAGTAACATCGGAGTCATCTGGCGCCACGAAAGACCGAGGTATTTCATGATCGTCGTCCTCGATCGTTTTTCGCTCACTCGATTGTGTCGAGGCTGGAATCAGTGATTGCTATTTGGCCTTAAGGTCGGGGCTCGAACTAGATTTCACTGGTGTTGTGAGAGTCGATATTGGGATCACTTCCTCGACGGTAAACATTTCTTTTGCTGTCGGTTGTTCTCCATAGATTGTTTTGATCCCCTCCGGGACTGGGAAATTTAATGCTTGGTGGAGGGTCGAGGGTACCTCCCTCATATGATGGATCCACGGCCTCCCGAGAAGGGATTTATACCTATGTCTCCTTCGATCACGTAAAATCTGGTTCTGCATATAACTCATACGGAGTTCACTAGTAATATGATCTCCCCTTTAGTGGTTTCGCATGCCATGTTGAACCCATTCAGGATTCGAGCTTCGGGGATGATCTTATCTGATAGCTCGAGCTGTTCTACAACCCTCGATTGGATAATGTTGGCAGAACTACATGGATCAATCAACACATGTTTAATTCTAGTTTTATTTACTAGTACAGATATTACCAGGGCGTCATTGTGAGGTTGAATGATCCCTTTGGCATCCTCATCGCTGAAAGATATGACTCCTTCCGGTTCGTGCTCTCTAACTCTCTTTTCCCTAAGGATGGGCATGCTGGTGCGCTTCGATGTTGGTTCTTGTGGGACATCGACCCCACCAATGATCATGCTAGTGACTTGTTGAGGTTCGACTTCCTCTTGCTCTATTCGCCTGTTGGAGTCCCTGTTTCTGAATTGTGTCTTGGCTCGGTCACTCAAGAATTCTCGAAGATGCCCTTCATTGAATAATCGGGCCACCTATTCTCTTAACTGTCGACAATCTTCGGTTCTATGACCATGGGTTCCATGGTATTTGCATACTAGGCGGGGGTTCCTTTGAGATGGGTCGGATTGTAGGGGTCGAGGCCACTTAGTGTCTTCGATTTGCCCAATGGCCGATACGATGGCAGCTGCATCGATACTGAAGTTATATTCTGACAATCTCGGTGCCTCTTTTGGCCTGATCGACCTGTCGAAACCGTTTTTGGTCATGAGCCCCCGATCATTTTTTCTTTCGTTTCGCGTATGGTTGCGGGCAAATCCACCGTTCCTCCTATCATCATTATACGATCGGTATCGATCTCTACTAGACCCTGGCTCTCGGTCGGTGTCTCTTTTGGTTCTCTTAAGGCTCCTGCTAGGGTAAGACTCTGAATGGGCCCCGAACTGACCGTCCTCCACCCTGATCTTCGATTGGTACCGGTTGTGTACATCGGCCTATGTAGTGGCAGGGTATTCCATCAAGTTTTTCTTCAACTGACGTGAAGCAACAGAATTCCGATTATTCAATCCCTGAGTGAAGGCTTGAACAGACCAATCGTCGGTGACCGGGGGTAGGTCCATCCGTTCCATCTGAAAACGGGATACGAATTCTCTGAGCTTCGTTATCCTTTTGCCTAACTTTGAACAGGTCTGATTTTCTGGTTTCGACCTTGATAGCCCCTGCATGTGCTTTTACAAAAGTGTCTGCACGCATAGCAAAAGAGTCAATAGAATTAGAAAGTAATTTGTGATACCATATCATGGCTCCCCTAGACAGGGTTTCTCCGAATATTTTCAATAGGACTGACTCGATCTTGTCATCCCCCAAGTCATTTCCTTTAATGGCACAAGCGTAAGAGGTCACATGCTCGTTGGAGTCGGTTGTCCTATTATATTTGGGTATTTCGGGCATACGAAACTTTTTGGGAATTGGTTTCGGGGATGCGCTTGGAGGAAAGGGTTTCTGCACGAACTTTTTGGCGTCTAACCCTTTCAATAACGGGGGTGCCCCCGGAATTTGATCCACCCTGGAATTGTAGATCTCGACTTTCTTGTCATTAGCTTCGATTTTCTTTTCCCATGTCTCGGCTCGCTTCGTCAGTTCTTCGAGCATCCTCATGACTTCGGGGTTTGTGCCTGACTCTTGTTCATTTGATCTTACCACGGCCGGTTCTGCCCCGTGGGTAGTTTCTTTAGGTGGATCGGGCTCGTTCCTACTCGGGATCTGGCTTTGACTTTGCAAATGAGCAATTTCTACCTGTTGAGCTTGAAGCATTTCGAAAATCATGCGTAGGCTGATTCCGTCTCCTTCGGCGTTTTGCGTGCTTCGAGCCACAGATCGAGTTCCTCCACGAATGCTGTTTTCGGGATTGGTGTTCAAGTTGACGTCGATAGCCACATGAGAGTTTACATCATTTGGATCTACCGCCCTGATTCTGAGGGCTTCATCAGGTGGCCTTGCGTTACTAAGTGTCGCGCTGTTGTTTTCACCTTGGTGGCCAGACTAGTTATCGATATTTTGGAATGCTAGTCGGGGGTTAGCCATCTTAGACCTGAAATCAAAGATACTCCCAAGAACAAGCGTAAAGCAGTGTGTTATGTAGGTTTGTTTCAAATAACTACTATTATCCTTAGCTCCACGGTGAGCGCCAAACTGTTTACCCTTAAAATTGTATAACAATTAAATTTGTGCGTAGTTCTAAGGACACAATCTGATACAAAGGCGAGAAAATAGATTGATGTAGGGATTAGCAATATAAATATAAATACAACCTTTACTAATGGAGCAAGCCTTCGCTTATGAGATTGATTTCTGTTCAACACGAAATAATGACTAAGTAAGAGCAGAGCATAAAATGAGCAAGAAATTAGAATTGGCTATATGTTTTCTTGATATCTTACAATGTCCCTATCACTAATTCATCTTCACTCCTTTAAAGGGGAGGAGTCTCCTCCTTTTTTACATTATTCTATGGAAAAGTATGGGCCTTGATGACAGTTGGAAACTGTTCCCACTAGCACCGTGATTTGCGCTGTGATCATTGATTAGTGGAGAGTATTACGGACCCTTGTCGGTTGAGCTGGCGATGCTTTTCCGAGGTTCCCAAGGCAGGACCGGGCACGCCCTTTATAGCGGTCGAGGACGAGTTTGATGATTTTGATCGATGTTGATAGTCCTCTTATTTCTGAAATTTGGTACAGCTCGATCGGGACCGGTCTTACCTTTGTCTTCGATATTCATGTTGCTCCAGAAATCTGGTCGACCTTCGAGACCGAGTTCGATCTAATACCAAGCTCGATCAAGTACTAGGCTCGACCGGGCCTCGATCTAGGTCGAGCACCGATCTTATCGAGTGAAATCGATCCCCGAAATCGGTTTTATCCGTGTACATATATATTTATAACTTGGTAGGCTATACATTACTAGGTGTTTTGTCCTTTTTTCCCGTTCCTCTGTGGTTAATTTGTAATTATTTGCAAAAACAAAAATCTAAAACTAAATAATTAAGAATGAATTTAAAACTAGAACTTTGAATCATGTTCCATACCCCTGTGTTCCAAAGATAAAGATCCTAGCTTGTTATCAGCTGCGGGTTTTGAATACTTATATAGGAGGGAGGAGGTTCACTTTATGTAGCAAATGGCGAGTGGAAGGCTATTTTTGCGCAATCTCCCATTGTCTTCCTATAGTTGTGAGCTATTTTCTGTTCCGTTTGTGTTGTTCATGGTTGCTCGGGTTGTATGATATAAAAAGCAACTTGATGTTGATTTATGTATAGTTTTTGAAGGGCATACCAATCCAAGGAAAACTTTGACATGTCTTAATTTGGAAAAACTGATAGTTTGGTAGTCGAACCTTTAAGGTGATTAGTAGTGCAAGGAGCTGAGCAAGAGCAATGGACATTTTTAGTTTTATTTACTAGAAGACAGCTTCTACCTAGGCTAAATATTACGGTTAGATTGGTGCTCATTTTCTATATCTGATTGATGGAACAGGAACGTGTCTTCCTTTTTGTTCTGTCTTGGGCTATGGAGTAGGAAACAGGTAGTTGTGCTCAATACGTTTCATGCAAGTCTTTTTTCTCCTGATTGTTTTGTTCAAACTACATGCTTTTGCCTCCAGCATCATTCATAGGGAAAGCGGAAGTTCGAAGTAAAGATCGAAGCTTTCACGTGGTGTCTTGTTCTTAACACAGTGACTGTAAATGACATGTTTTTCTTTTTCTTTTTGAGCATGAATCTCTTGTTATGTGTAAGTAGGCTGAAGAACACTATATGTTGAAAATTGTAATTCCTTTTTAATGTCTCCCTGTTGCACTAGGTTCTGGTGAACCGTTCTTTTTATTACTTTATTAATTTGCTAGAAATAATTTTTTTGCTATTTTAGTTAATAGGTCATGTATTTAGAACAAACTAAAATAGGGAGCTAGTCGATATAAAAGGATACAAGGAATATAATGGACAAATGTCAGACTGGTAATACCAAATGCTTCTGGAAGTTCCTTATCGACTCTCTCAACTTTCATAACCTGTATTTTGATGTAGTTGACTAATACTATAGCATTACATGTCCTTCAAATTTGCAAGAATATTTATTCCTTTAATTAAAATTCTCCTTTTAGGGTACTTTGTAATTTGTCGCAGGACAAAATAGATTTTAATTTATGTATTGTTATGTGTAGGCTGATCAAACTCTCCTTTGCCAAGTCTTGTCAACACGGATCACATCGAGGTTCTACTGAGTGCATTGCACATTGGAAGATTGGAAAGTGTCTAGTGGGGAGGTTAAAAAAGTCTCGTGTCAAGATTTTTCAGATGCAGATTTTGCAGGTGATATGATCGACAGGAAAAGTACTAGCGGCACATGACAACTATTGGGAAATGCACTAGTTTCCTAGCATAGTAAGAAACAAAATTGTGTTGTCTTATCAACAACTGAAGTAGAATATTTAGCTCTTGGAAGTTGTTGTACACAAGTTCTTTGGATCATGCATTAACTTCTCGACTATGGTTTATCTCTTACCACAACTTCCATATTCTGTGATAATACTAGTGCTATTTGTTTGGCAAAACATTTTGTGCATCACTCCAGAGCAAAACATATAGAAATAAAGCATCATTTTATTCGTGATCATGTTGCTAAAGGTGATATTGCATTAGTATTCATTAGTACTGAATTTCAACTTGCTGATATTTTTACAAAACCTCTTTTAGAAGAAAGATTTTGTCTACTGCGGAAAAAGATTGGCATCATGTGTGTTTTATAAAACAAATTTTTTATATACAATTAAAACTCTTTACTTTCCTCTTATAAGTGTTAAGTTTACTTTGATAAAAGTGTAATTATTACACCTACATTAGTACCGCCGAAACATCCCCTCAGAAGAATCACTCCTTTCTGAATCCGTCCTCACCTTCAACCAATGAAACTCTTCAGCCCTCCAAAGTCTAGATAAGAATCCTCCTACTCCCTCTCACTTCTCATATCCTCCGAAGAAACCCTCACCATGGTGAAAAAAAACCTCTCATCTTCCACTACGACCAGACGAAGCAGAAGGTTTCGGAAAATCCTCAACCCTGAAGAAACTGTAGATTTGGAATCATCCATCGACTCAGACCCTCTCAAAACTGATAATGAAAGCAGTAAATTGTCTGAGGACCTTCCCATTAGCCAGAAAAAGGCAGGAAAGAGGCCCATGGAGCAAACCCCCAAAAATCTGCATGCAAGAAAGGGAAAGTGGAGAGTACTAAATTTGGGCCAGAGGACAAATTAATATTCTATGGACCAAATGAGAAATCAAGGTTTGAGTCCTATAAGTCGAAATCTATGGCCTATGAACGCACTGTAAGCCTCTCTCTTATGAAAAATCTGCACTGTGATGTGATTGATGTTTTCGATTTTCAACGCCTTTCCTCTCTATTCGATACTATTCAGAGCTCCGTATATGAAGAGCTTGTGAGAATGTTCTATGCAAATTTGTTTGTGAATGATAAAGAGGACTTGGAATCTATGGTTTTAGACACTCAAATTGTTCTCGACTCTTATCAATTTGAGAAGATTTTTTCTGCTAAGTTTAATGGGTATGAGTTTTTGTGCAAAATTCTTGGCCAAAAGACTTGAAGTTTCCTTAGAAGAAGCAAAAGCCTTCCTGTCTAATAATCCTCCCGACATTGGTCCCAAAATTCTAAAGTTTGAACACCGGGTCTTGGCCCACATGATAGCCACCACTCTACTTCCTAGGACCGGGTCCCTTAGCACCTTATCCACGAGAGATATCTTTGTTCTTTACTGTCTTGTGAACAACAAAAGACCCAACTGGTTTGTATGGATTCGTCAATACATGCTTGAGAGTATCAAGGATATATCCTCTTCTGCTGCTTGTCTACCCTATGGCCTCCTTATTTCACATATTCTTGGAGTTATGAAGGTTGACTTGACACCTTTCATACCTAAGCACATTACCAGTACCTATGATGAGACAACATTCTCTATGATGGGTTACACTTTAAGTGATGATGGATGGGTTAAGCGCGCCAAAGTTGAGACTGTCCCAGGTTGAAGCTCCCACTGAACCACCAGAGTCTCAGTCAACTGCCTCTCAAAATTTTCAACAGATTCAACAATATCTAGACAGTGTAAGACTTATGCTAGTTGAGATGAAAGAGCAGATTAACAAAATCAGAGAAGTCACCAAGGAAACAAGTACAAATGTGGCCAAGCTTAGGATGGATATGGGAGCCACACAGAGGCAAGGAACCAGGGCATTCAACTCCATGCTAGAAAAAATAGACAAGCTCGTCAAAGATGTTGAAACCTCCTATGAATCCTTCTGCACCAAAGTGATCAATACCCTCAAATACTTCCTAAGAAGAAATTAAGGCGTGGCTAAAAACAATCTCTCGTGCTTGCTTTTGTTTGAAAAACTTATTTTTTGCATCTGTATGTATGAACCATCACTCTATGCCTCTGTTGAAGGCATTACTTATGCTGCCCTAACTAGTATGCATATTATCTGTATATTATTTTTTCATCTAGTGTGCATAATATCTGAATGCATATTATTATATACTGGGCTTGTACCTTTCTTTTTTATTGATGTCAAAGGGGGAGAACATGTATGAAGAAATAAATCAACAACTCAAGGGGAGCAGTAATGAGTACAACTCGAAAGTTGCACCGATTTTTTTTTATTGATGTCAAAGGGGAAGAACATGTATGGAGAAGTAAATCAACAACTCAGGGGGAGCAATAATGGGTACAACTCTAAAGGGAAGTATACTCTGTTTACTCTCTCTTTATTGTCATCATCAAAAAGAGGAGATTGTTATATCTAAGTTTCAATGATGACAAGTGTACAAAACTAATAACTATTTACTTTTGACTGCAAAGAACAAGACATCAGGCCCTTCGTTGTTGATCAAGCTATCAAAACGACAGTAACTCAAATCTAACAAAAATCAAGAAAGAATGACAAAAGAAATGGGAGACAAGTTGGGTGGAAAACACATCATAGTGTGAGACAATCGGAAGTGGTGCTTCTTGTCATCAAGCACTCCTTCATTATTTAATCCGCCCACCAACTGGAAACCATTTGACATGCGCTCATCTCTTCAAAGAAAGTATGAAGCATCTCGGCATGGGAATGACATGGAACAGAGCACTCCATGATTTAACAAACTCCACCCCATCTCTCTCTCAGTAATCAGAGACACCCTGCTCTAATCCAACAATCATCTCTCTTGAAGAAATCAAAGATACCTTGCTGGAATCAGACACAAACACACAACAATACTTGCCTATAAGGTAACTAGTGAACTCAAGGGAGTGCTGTGCGCAACTACAAACACTGTCTTCTAAGTCTCTCTAAATCTAAGTACAAACATTGTATTGTTGAGTATACAAGTGTCATAAAAGATACAAGGAGTTAGAATACAAAAGAGAGTTGTGTTAACATCCAAAAATCATTATTGCTAAACATCGTTAGTGGTGAACGAGCCAAAAACCATCACTGTTGTAATTCTTTATCAAAGATCTAAAAGAACCCTTGTGACCCAAGGGAAACTGGACGTAAGTAACACACCGCTACTGAACCAATATAAAAACTGTTGTGTCTTGTGTTGCCTTCAAATTCACTGCATTCATCTGTCTTATCTGTGTACTGTACGGAAACTAGTCGACTAAACTAAATCTTAGTCAACTAAGTTTTAATAGTCCACAATTCACCCCCCTCTTATTCAACTTCGTTTGGGTTCTTGGGGCATATTCCTCGAAACTTCAGTTTGTCAGATTTAACAGCAGATTTTTCCAACAGTTCTGGTTTGTGCCTGCCTTCTTCTGAGTTAATATATCACTTCTGTCCAGAGCTTTATCTTTCTCATATCTGCTCTTACAGATATAATGGAGAGCTACTCTGGACCGGCCTTCCTAGCAACAGATACTGGCAATTTCCTGGATCCTCATGGTAGTGAAGAAAATCAAGGTTGTGTGGCATCTCAATTCTGGTATTTGTTTTTATGGTTAATTTGGAAAAGAAAGTCTCACTACTCAATAGCTCTCTCTGTCTTATTTCGGCACATATCAATTTGAAACAGAACAATGTCATTTCCTGACATACCAAATATAAGGGATTGTTAGAAGAAAGCCCGTATTGGACTTATAGGTTGGGTGCTTGTTTTAGGTCATAAAGCGCTCGCATGAAGCAGCAAAAAGAGGTGAACTTTGAAGATGAGTTATGGGCACCTACCAATAATGATATCTACTTAACTTTCTGCAGATATCAAGAGATTGGATGCTATATCAGAAGGCTTGAGTTACGATGATTTTGCCAGCGATTGAGTGAACTTTCATTCTGATGGTACCATCGTGCAACTTTATCCTCAATATGTAAACTATCATGTTTAGAAATATAGTTTGCACCTATACTCCAGCTTAGTTAAGCTGAGCAATTTTTTCTTTATATAGTATTTGTTGGGTTAACTCCTATGACTATCACATTTTATTTAGTTTGAATGATTTCAATGCTTGCAGGTCCAATTATTCCAGTATAATGTTCTGTAAATGAGGAAATGCTTCAACCCCCTTTGCAGGCATTGGTTGGTTACAATCAAGGTTATAACTCAATCAGTATGGTATCATGCCTGTTGTATGAAGAGTAGGAAATAATGTAAGCTAAGAAGTTTCGCAAAATGAGGTCAGTCCTAGTAAGTAGAAACAAAGCATATTATGATGTATAAGTTGTAAATAGGGCTGTGATTGTGAAGATCTGATGTAATGTGTAGTCGAGAATACTTGAACTTTTGTTTTTCTCGGGTACTATTTTCTCTTTCCTTTTAATTTTATTGTTCTGGTGGGAGAAGGGGGTGGGGGGATTCAAATATCTCTTTTATGTTGGTTTTGCAAATTTTTGGGGGTACTGACATTATGATTTATTCAATCCAATGCTTGAACTTGGATGATTGCTGATGTGTTCTGAAAGAGCACGGAGCTGTTAGTGTCAATGGCTATGGAATTATTCCACGTGGGGAAATTTGTAATGCAACTCTGTTCTTTAGTAGTTGCAAATCCCAACTTGTAATGACTCTACTGCTTAATTAATAAATTAAGTATTCTCTTTTTGACCAAAAGAAGGGTTAATCTTTAAGTTATAGTCTCGTGTATTTATTCTCTTGGCTTCCTCCATTTCTCTATTCAGACATTTGATGCAAAGTCTAGTTGGAGGAGTTAGCAAATCGACTTATTCTTAACTTTTGCTGGAGAAACGATGACTTCACCGAAATATAAAGAAGGAAAAAAGAGTGTCTTTCACAAAAAGCTTTGCAGCAATTGAGCGAAGAACCAAATTGCAAAATCAGACCAAGGGACCACTAAAGACCCTCATGAAGAAATCTTTTTCTTATGATGTTCTAAGGCATGATGTGTTTGTTATATATAGACTAGCAAGAAGTCTTTCTATAAATAGAATTTAATTCTGATCTATACGTGACCTATATAAATGTAACGACCCAACCGGTCGTTTTAAGTATTACAACCCCGTTTCCCCATTTACTCCTTATTATATGTTCAAGGATAATTATGAGACTTATCGGGGAGGTTTCGGAATGAATTGGAACACTTAGTTCCAAGAATTAAGGCTTAAGTTGAAATATTTGACAGGATGGTGAATTATGTATAAACGACCCCGGAATAGAGTTTTGATGATTCTAATAGATCCGTATGGTGATTTTGGAATTAGGAGCGTGTCCGGAAAATTATTTGGAAGTCCGTAGTGGAATTTGGCTTGAAATGGCGAAAATTGATTCTTTTCGGGAAGTTTGACCGGGGAGTTGACTTTGTGGTATCGGGGTCGGAATCCAGTTCTAATTTTTTTTATAGCTATGTTATGTCATTTATGACTTGTGTGCAAAATTTGAAGTCATTCCGGATTAATTTGATGTGTTTCGGCACAAGATATAGAATTTGAAAGTTCAAAGTTCATAGATTTTGATTTGTGATGTGATTCATCGTTTTGATGTTATTTGATGTGATTTGAGGCCTCGAGTAGGTCCGTGTTATGCTATGAAACTTGTTGGTATATTTAAACCGGATCCCGAGCGGCTCAGTGAGTTTCGGGGGTGAGTTTTGAGCGATATCCGGGCATTTCGGCACTCTAGTGTTGTTCTTGAACGTTGGAAGGGCGGACCACACAATTTCATGTGCTGAGGGACATTTTTTAATGCTATAGCAAATGAAACAGTGCTGCAGCAGATGAAAATGTGCGGACCGCAGAAGAAAAATGCGGACCGCACAATCTTTTCTGCGGCCGCACTTCAGGGGGTTCTGCAGGTTTGATGGTTAGACTCCGGAGACTTATATCCTTTAATCCACAACGAATTTGGAGATGATTCAAACACTAAAGTTGTAGCTCTTTGAATCTAGTTTCCCAAAATGTATAGCAATAATCATTTGGACATTTGTACAGAACGTTATGGGCATTGTATTAAAGCCTGGTAGTGCAAAGTGTTGAAGTGCGACTGCACAATTTGGAGTGCGACCGCAGAACTTGGAATGTGCGGGCCGCACAAAAATTGTACAGCCAGCACAATGAGGGGTCAGATTGTGTATTATAAAAATAAGGGTTTGGGTATTATTTCACATTTGGACTTTGGGAGCTCGGTTTGTGGCGATTTTTCGTAGGAATTTCAAGAAATTTATCGGGGTAAGTGATTCTAACTCAAATTTGGTTAATATACATGAATATATCATCATTTTCATCATTCAATTAGTAGTTTGATATGGAAATTTGAGGAAAAATTATAGAAATTTCATAAAATAAATTTTTGGGATTTGAATGTCGATTCGAAGTCGGAATTGAATGAAACTAGTATGGTTGGACTCGTAATTGAATGAGTAGTCGGATTTTGTGAGGTTCGTTAGATTCCGAGACGTCAATTTTTGAGTGCAATTTTGGATGTTGTTGGAAAATTAGTATTTTCCTATCGAATTAATTCCTGTAAGTTGTATTGACTGAAACGAATTTATTGTGACTAGATACGAGGCTTTCAGAGGCAAAATTGCGAGGCAAAGGCATAGCGGAGTAAATAATTACACGATTTGAGGTAAGTAACTCTTCTAATCTTGGAGCTGAGGATATGAACTCAGAATATACGTATTATGTGAATTGTTTGGAGGTGACGCACATGATAGGTGACGGGCGTTTGGGCATGCACTATATAAATTGTGACGTAATTGGTTTCGTGGAATTTTGTAGTCAAATAATCTTGGCATTTTCTATGTAGTTTTATGTGTTAAAGAAATTGAGCTTAGAATCATATTAAAAAATTATGCTGAGGCTACGTGCCAGTATTATTGAGACCCACATATGTTATATTGCTGTTGAATTATTTGTTTAAATTGAAATTTCATACTCAGTCATGCTCATTCATTTCATATCATCTCTCAGTTTCTGTTGCTATTTATTGATTCATCATATCATCATTTTGGGCTAGTTTTATGGTATTGTGAGCCCGAGAGACTGGAGAGATTGATGACTGAGTGAGGACGAGGGCTTAATTGTAAGGATAATTATGGGATCGGGCTGCACGCCGCAGCATGCCATATTGGCTTTATATATTTTATTATTATGGGATCGGGTTGCACGCCGCAGCAGGCCAGATTGACTTATTATAACATGTGAGTTGTCCGTGCGGATACATATATTGATACTATAGCACGTGAGTTGTCCGTGCATCACGTGAGTTATCCGTGCAGATTATAGGGCTTGGATGAAGGAGCCCCTCCAGAGTCTGAACACACCACCCATAGTGAGCACAGGTACCTACTGAGTGCGAGTGCTGAGTGCCGAGTGCTGAGCGATTGGGAGGATTGAGTGACTGGGAGGACTGAGTGAAATGATACTCTAAGAGTATGCATATGGTTTTATCACTGAGTTGCATCGCATTGGCATGCATATTTGACATACATGCATATAGATGCTTTTTTCTTATGCTGTACGGTATCATGTCATTCATGACTTCTCACACATACTGGCCTATGGGCATAATGATGCATTTTCACTAGCTATCTGGAAAGAAAAATGAAACATCTTATTTATTGTGGAATGGATATTTTTGAAAAAATTACTGTTTTCAAACTTACTCATGTTTTGGTAACTTCGGTAAACGATTTGGGTTTTCCCGGATGTACTGGAAAGGCAGAACTATTTTCAGAAATTATGATTTAGCTGAGCGTTATATCTTTGAGTTACTTCTTTTACTACTTGCGTTATGTTGTTATAAATTGTTGTTAGCTATTGGTGTTGGACCCGACCTTTGTACAAGCTCGTCACTACTTTTGACATAAGGTTAAGTTTGTTACTTATTTAGTACATGGGGTCGGTTGTACTCATACTACACTTCTGCACCTTGCGTGCAGATGTTGGCAGATTATGTTGCTGTGTTCGTTGGGAACTGGATCTGAAGATGTACCTGCATTTCGGTTGTAGCTGTCTCTTGTTCATGGTAGCCTTAGATTCATAAAACTTTGTTTATGTACTTTTCAAACAGATGGTGTATTTTTATTTTACACCAGCTTTGTAAATTCTAATCTTAGAAGTTCATGATTTGTACTACCAGTTGTTGGGGAAATGTATTGGTTTCATATATTTTCTTTTAATTAATTGCCTTATTAAATTCATTGGAATTGAATAGTTGATAATTGGCTTACCTAGCGGGTTGGGTTAGGTGTCACCACGACTAGTTGGATTTTGGGTCGTGACAATTTGGTATCAGAGCTCTAGGTTCATAGGTTCTACGAGTCATGAGCAAGTGTCTAGTAGTGTCTTACGGATCGGTATGATGACGTCCATACTTATCTTCGAGAGGCTACAAGGCATTTAGGATAATTTCCCATCTTTCTTTCTTTATCGTGCGAAATTTATTCAGCTTGATATATAACTCTTTGAATTCCATCCACACATTCGTGTGCGCATGTGAGCACTCCGTATCAGCTGTGTATCACTGGATTGTGATTTCAGGGATGATGTGCGAGATGTGTATTCTGTGTTTTGGTGATGGACCAGTCTGGAGGACTTGAGGCCATGGTTGAACCGCAGCTTAAGCTCGGTAGCTTCAGTTGTAACATGTACATTTGGACTCATATGTTCGGTAATGTCCCTACGAGTGGAATTTGTGGCTCGATGAGTGGTGAAATGGCTTTGTGATGAGTATGATGTAATCACGAGATGTGTTAAGACGATGTGAATGTGGCGAGAAGTGTTTCCTTGGAATGTAAAGAGGGATATTGGGTGCTTGATTTTTGTTTGATGTAACGTATAGTCTCAAATTGTGAGTGTGTTGAAGGATATGTCATACAGTTTAATTGTGGAGAGAATTAGATTTTCATGTCTTGTTAATGAGTTTGGACTCAGGAAGATTAAGTGATTGCGTAGTAATTGTGGATGCGAAAGGGTATAATACGATGCCAATTTGAGGCTAAGAAGGTGGGTTATCTCGTGGAAAGTAATCTACGTAGGTGTGTTCCTTATAATGTTGAGTGGAGAGTTTCTTTTCTGCCAGCGGGGCATAGGTGTTGAGACTTGAATTTGAATCTGGTTGAGAAAGTTGACTTGAGTGTCAAGAGAATGAATGCGAGTTTAGCGGATGATTGAGGTATTTTTATGGTTGGCGTTACATGAGCTTGAGAAAAATTTTTGTTGAACTGATGTCGGTATTATGGCAGTAATAGAGTATGTGTATTGTGAGTTATCGAGTGTTTTAATTTATGACTTTGAGCCAAGTGGGGGAGCCTGCTATTGACAATTCAATTTCATGGTTATATGTAAAGGTTTAGTTTTGGGCTAAGGCATACTTGTGGGTTAGTTATTACTTGCAGAGGTTGAGATCGAGGATGACTCGAATAAGAAAATTCCTGGATACGGGTTATATTGTACTTATGAATATATGAAAATCATGGAATGAGTGAATTGTTATTTATGAAGGATGTAGTGCGCACGTAGTATAAATTTGATTGATGGTGTTAAG